CCTTGACCTGGGAACTCTGGAATTTGGCTACAATATTCCTAGGAGTTTTCCTTTGGGGATATCTTTCAGGAGGAGATTGGTGGATTCTTTCAATTTCTACTTTGCCCTCTGGTTCTAAAATATCAGGACAGTTTTCCTGGATAATTTCTTGAAAGATGATATCTAGGCCCTTTTTTTGATCATAGCTTTCAGTTAGTCCAATAATTTTTAAATTCTGTCTCCTGGATCTATTTTCCAGGTCAGTTGTTTTCCAATGAGATATTTCACATTGTTTTCTAATTTTTCATTCTTTTGGATTTGTTTTACAGTGTCTTGATTTCTCATAAAGTCACTAGCTTCCAATTGCTCTATTCTAATTTTTAAGGAAGTATTTTCTTCAGTAATCTTTTGGACTTCCTTTTCCATTTGGCCAATTTTGCTTTTTAGGGCATTCTTCTCCTCATTGGCTTTTTGGACCTCTTTTGCCATTTGGGTTAGGCTATTTTTTAAGGTGTTATTTTCTTCAGTATTTTTGGGGGTCTCTTTTAGCAAGCTGTTGAGTTGTTTTTCAGGATTTTCTTGCATCACTCTCAGTTTTTCCTCTACTTCTCTTACGTGCTTCTCAAAATCCCTTTTGAGCTCTTCCAAGGCCTGGGACTGATTCATATTTTTCTTGTAGGGTTTGGATGTAGGAGCTTTGGCTTTGTTGTCTTCTTCTGGTTGTGTGTTTTGATCTTCTTTGTCACCAAAGTAAGATAATATAGTTTGACTCTTTTTGCGCTGCTTACTCATGATCCCGGCCAATTACTTAAGTTATAAACTCTCTGTTAAGGTAAAAGTCTGCTTGCAATGTGAAGAGTGTACTGTCCCAAGCTTCGGGGGTTTGTACAGCTGTTTTCAGAGGTACTTCTAGGGGACCTGTACATTTTCAGTTCTTCCAAGGTGGTATGATAAGGGGCGAGGTGTTTCCTCTCCACAGCCACAACAAGCTCCACCGCACCAGCGTTCCTCCTCGCCCCAGGACCGCCCCTCAGAACTGTGACCCAGATCCAAGTACCAGTAAAGCAAGGGATTCCTGCCTCAGCACTTGCAAAGAGATCCCTGCAATCCCCCTCTGATCAGCCACTCGATTGCCCCTCAGTCTGTGGGCCAAAAGCTCAGGAAAAAGGCGTGGCCCCGGGCCGCGCTCAAGACTTGTGGCTGAGACCTAGCTCCTCTCTCACTGCAGTCACAGACTTTTCCCCCTGACCTTCCACGTTGTCTTTGGCGTTCCTGGTTTGAGATGTCTGGAAACCACCACAGCTGCCTGCGATTCCCCAAGCATTCTTGATGAAAAGACCAGAGCTAAATAGAAAATTGACTTTCAAATACAAGACTCAAGAGAAACAAAAAGGTAAACAGGAAAGGGAAATCACAAGGAACTGAATAAGGTTAAACGGTTTATATTCCTACATGAGAAGATGATACTTGTATCATCATAAGTACTTTCTCATGAGGGCAGTTAGAAGGAGTATATATAGACAGAAGGCACAGGTGTGAGTTGAATATAAAGAGATGATATCTAAAAAAAATAAAATTAAAGGGCAAGAGAGGAATGCACTGGGAGAAGGGGAAAGGGAGAGATAGAATGGGGTAATAAAAGAGGCAAGAAAAAACTTTTACAATGGAGGTGAAAGGGGGGATGAGGGAGAATGAGTGAACCTTACTCTCATCAGAATTGGCTCACATACACACACAATTGGGTATAGACATCCATCTTACGTTACAACAAAGTAGGAGGGGAAAGGGAAAGGGTAAGAGAAGGGAGGGCAGATTGGAGGAGGGGGTAGTCAGAAACAAAACACTTTTGAGGAGGGACAGCAGAAAAGGGAGGGAGAGAATAGAATAAACAGGAAGGGGAAATAGGATGGAGGGAAATATAGTTAGCAGTAGTAACTGAAAAAGATTTTGAAGAAGTTTCTCTGATAAAGGCCTCATTTCTCAAACATAAAGAACTGAGTCAGATTTATAAAAATAAGAGCCATTCACCAATTGATAAATGATCAAGAGATATGAACAGTTTTCAGATGAAGTAATCAAAGCTGTCTATAGCCATATGAGAAGGTCCTCTAAATGGCTGTTGATTGGAGGAATGCACATTGAAACAATTCTGAGATATTACCTCATACCTATTAAATTGGCTATTAGGATAGAAAAGGAGAATGACAAATGTTGGAGGGGATGTGGGAAAAATAAGACATTAGTGCACTGTTGGTGGAATTGTGAACTGATTTAACCATTCTGTAGAGCACTTTGGAACTATGCCTGAAGGACTATAAAACCATGCATACCCTTTGACCTAGCAATACCACTGCTGGATCTGTATCCCAGAAGCGATAAAAAACAAAAAGGCAAAGGACCTATATGTACAAAAATACCTGTAGCAGCACTTTTCTGGTGGCAAAGAATTGGAAATTAAGGGGATGCCCATCACTTGGGGAGTGACTGAACGAATTGTGGTGATTGTGATGCAATACTACTGTACTATGGGAAATGATGAGAAGGACACTGTCAGAAAAACCTGGAAAGACTTACTTGAGTTGATGCAAAGTGAAATGTATTATGTACAAAGTAACAGAGATATTGTAGTATAATCAGCTGTGAATGACTTAGCAATTGTCAGCAATACAATGATTTAAGACAACTCTGAAGGACTTAGGATGAAAAATACTATCTATCCCTAGAAAAAGAACTAATGGGGTCTGAGTACAGATTGAAGCATACTTGTTTTACTTTATTTTTCTTGAGGTTTTCTTGTGTGTGTGTGTTTTTTTTTTTTCACAGCATGATTATTATGGAAATGTTTTGCATAACAGCCATCTGCTCTGTATTCAGCACCACTTTGCTAATAGTTGCAATTTGTTTTGAAAAGCTTGGGTCACATTGTGTCATTTTCAGTTAAGCCAGTTCCTACTGAGTCCTTGAGTCTTGAAACTACTGAATGAGAAGCTCCTCAACATATTTGCTCAATGTTAGTGCCTTTGATAAGATTTTCTCTAAAAAAAATCATTCAAATTTATAATAAAAGTAATGTCAGAAACGTTCTAGTTATGCATTGATACAAATTAACAGATTCTGTTAGCTCCTAAAATACATCTGGTGCTGAAACTAAGACTATTGACTGCTACTAATGAACAGGTCTGGCAAGCATGAATCACTGATCATATTCACGTTCATAAAATGTGGCCAAAAAAAAAAATCAACAAAGTTTTTGAATGTCTTTCACAAATTGCTTCGCACACACTTACCAGAATCTGTGTTTAATTTTCTACTTTACCACCTTCCAGCAAGCAATATGCAGGTATAGGATATAGATTAGAGAATTTCTTTTTCATAATAAGAGGTAATCATCATATGTGCCCAGAAAAGGCAGTGTACGGAAGGGTGATCTTAATGTCTTTTGATAAGATAGGCTTCCATTTTAACTTACCCATACTCTTGTATTTAGAAATTTTGGGTAAAATATTTGATTTAATTGGGTGCTATTCAAGCATTTGTTTGCACTTTCATCAACTTACTCTCTACTGAATAACCCATAGGAAAAGAAGCCATGATCATTTGTTGAATTTGATATTATTTGAATTTTGGGATCCTGTTGTTCCAGACCTGTTTTGTTTTAGACTGGGTTTCCATTGTATGTGGTGATAATTTTAATTTTTTAAAATGTTAATGTTTGAGTATATGTATGTATATATATATGTATATGTATCTATGTATGTAGATGACATATGTGTTATACTTATATACACACATACACATACATCATCTCTATATATATGTTATATATATTATATATTTTTTTAATTAGAGGATTTGTGTTGTTCAGTCATTTCATTCATATCTGACTCTTTGTGACCCCATTTGAGGTTTTCTTAGCAAAGATATCAGAGTAGTTTGCTGTTTCCTTCTCTAGCTCATTTTGCAGATGAGGAAACTGAGGCAAAGTGTTAAGTAACCTGCCCAGGATCATACAGCTAGTAAGTGTCTGAGGCCAGATTTGAATTCAGGTCTTCTTGACTCCAGGCCCAGTGCCCTATCCACGGTGCCACCTGGCTGCCCCCCAGTAGAGGTACTATCATCTCTCAAATTCTTCTTGTCAGTTTCTCTTAAAGATAAAAATCTAGAAAGACTCAAGGCTGTTAAGATTTTTTTTCACTTCACAAAACTAAATCTACCTTTTAGTTTTGATGTTTTAAGAAGTGACAGGCCGCCCTATACTCTGTAACTAATACCCTTTATGAGGAGTAGCTGGCTATAGTGGCTAGAGTATTGAACTTGAACTTAGGAAGATTTGATTTTGAATCTTGCCTCAGGCAATAATTATCTGTGTGACCTTAGACAAGCCATTGAGCTTTTCTTAGCCTCAGTTTCTTCATCTGTAAAATGGAGGTGATAATAGCACCTACCTTGTAAGGTTGTTGTAAGGATTAAATGATGTAATACAAAAAACATGCTTTGCAAACTTTAAAACACTATATATGTAAGCTATTACTATTCAAGATATGTCTAAATCTCTGAAAACAGCTCTCAACTTTACCTGTTTAATCCAAAGAAATTTACAGTACATCTTTATTTAAACAGAGCAGCATTCATTGACAGTTTTCATGAATATACTGAAAGCTTTTAAGGATCCACAAAACTCTCCTTAGCAAAACAGTAACAAGAACAGTAGGTCATTTGGCTTATAAATAGGTATTGATATTCAAGCAAACTCAGTGTTTTTTTTAATTGAAACACGCAATCATTTATCTAAACCATTTTGTTGATTTTTCTTAATTGATGCGTAGGTATTAATTTGAATAAAACTGACACCAACATGTAGCCCAAAAATTTAAAGAGAAGCATTGTTTGAGAATGGGAGTCCTTAAGGTGTTTCCCTTCTAGGGCTATTGTGAAGATTGAATTAGATAATATATGTAAAGAGCCCTATATAAAATTGAGCTGGTATTTTAATGCTGATGATTCTCAAATTTATTTTTTAGGTGATGGAATATGAGAACAGGATTCGAGCCTACTCCACTCCTGACAAAATTTTCCGATATTTTGCTACCTTGAAAATTGTGAGTGAGTTTGGTGAAGCCGAAGTGTTTATGACTCCACAAGATTTTGTGAGATCCATAACCCCCAATGAGAAGCAGCCAGAACGTAAGTCAGTGGAGCAGAATGGGAAGGCTTGCCAAGTTACTGACTTGCAACTGTTTTCCTATATGTTGCGTGAATAATGTTCTTTAACATCTTTCTCCTTTCAACTAAGAATCTTAGCTTTTATTACAACATAGGTATTAGCCTCAGCATTCCTCTGTGAAAAACAAGGGCTTTAGATTAAGACATCATCATGTGGGTAAAATTCTCTCACTATAAGGAGATAGGAAAGGAGCTCACAAAATCTGTGGTAATTTATTCTTGCATTTGAGGCCTCCAGAGGAACTTCTTTCACATAACTCGGTTAAATCTTTGTGCTTCATTGTGAAGGATATTTCCTGTATTGGTGATGGAAAAAAGCTGGTTCTTATTTTCTTTAAAAGTGATGCTTAACATCATTAAGATTGCCAGTGGAACTGAGGCACGTAGTGGTTACTTAAAGTCTTTTTACCTGCCACTGGCCAAAAAATGAATATGAAAGTTCAGCACAGTGATGATTCAGGAACTTTCTTCTACCCCTCTGTGCTTTCTTGGGCTCTTTGTTAACCCTGTTCTGACTTCTTATCTTCTCCAGTCTTTATCCTATAATTAACGAGTTCAACATTACTCTCTTCTCTGCCCTCAAATACCTTGTATGCTTGTATTGTTGCTGTGCTCATCCCTTGCCAAGCCTTAGCCTTGCACTGTTCCCACCATGTGCTTCATCTGCTCCTACCCACATGTTGCTGAATGCAGCTGGAGCTAGTGACACAACAGTGCTGCTTGGGTGCTTGGCCACATCCATGGGCCCTCACTTCAGCACGGCAGTCCTTTTATCTTCCCTTATTGATTCCCTATCTTACTCCCCCCCCAGAAGCTATTCCAAACCATGTCTTCTTTCCTGAAGCTTCCTACACTTCCATCTCTTCCTTTTCTCTCTCTCAGTTGAGGACCTCATCTCTGACTTTACTGAGAAATTGAGGTCACTCAACATGAGCTTCCTCTTCTGTTTTTTTTTTTATCTAAAAACCTCTTGATATTATCTCTCTTTTTTTCTTCTTCATTTTGCAACTGAGGTAACTGTTCTTGCCCAGGTTAGCCCCCCTCCATATGACTTTATTCCTATCACCTTCCATTTCTTCAGCAGATTTTCACCTCTCTCATCCACTCTCTCTCAAATCTTCAACCTCTCCTTATCTATCGGCTTCAGACATGTTTAGGTCTCCCCCTTTCACTAGACCCTAACATCTCCTTAGTCCATCATCCTATAACTCTCCTTCTTTTCTCAGTCAAACTCCTAGAAAAAGCAGTCTATACTTGCTGCCTCCACTTTTCATGTTCTTGATAGCTCTTTGTAGTCTGACTTCTGACTTCATTATTCAAATGAAAAATACTCTGTCCAACCTTACCGATGAGTTCATGTTAAATCTGATGGTCTTTTTTCACTCTCATCCTTTTTGACCTGTTTGCTGTATTTGACACTGTTGACCACCTCTTCCTGGATATTGTCTACTCATCCTCCTCCCCTCTGCCTAAGCACTCCTCAGTTTTCTTTGATAGTTCATCATCCCTATCACACTTTCTAACTATGGTTGCTCCTCGAGGCTGTGTCTTAGGTCCCCTTCTCTTCTCCCTCTATTATCTCTCTGAGTGATCTCATCATTTTCCAGGGGTTTGATGATAATGTCTGTGCCAGCACCTTTCAGATCTAGATATTCTGCCCCAGCATCTTCCTGGAGTTTCAGTCCCACGTCATTATTGGATATTTCCAACTAGGTGTCCCAGAAACGTCTCAAGTTTAATACATCCAAAAAGGCACCACCATTCTTCTAGCCTCTCTTGTTCATAATCTTGACATTATCCCTAACTTCACACTTTCTTTCACCCTGATTTATTGCTAAATCTTTCCATTTCCACCTCCTCAGAATTTCACATCTGACCATTCTCTCCCATACAGCTTCCACCTTGGTTTAAGTCTTCTTCTCAGTTAGAGGATGGGTAATTTTTAATTAGCCTGAGAATTTCAACCTGAGTCCCAAATAAGGAATTGGTAACTTGACTGGAGCAAAAAGGAATAAGTTGAGCCACATATAAGATTTTGTTTAATGCAATGCAGTTTGAAATGGCCCTTCTGGTAAAAACTTCATTTGGAAAATGAAGGTTTTCAGTGTATTAGTGGGAACTGAGGCAAGAAGAAACATTTCCATTTTCAGCTTTAAGTAGGGTCAACGTTGCTAGTGATTCACCTCTATGGACAGCAAGTAATAAGAGTTTCACTGAGTTCCATCAGGTTTTGGCTATTGTCTTTACTGTCAGAAAAATGAACTTTTTTTTTGTTAGAAGTTAAGTCAGAGAAAAGGTGGTAGCAGCAAAATTCTTTTATCCTGATATCTTCCAGTGGTCAAATGTTTTATAAGTACTGTCTCAGGAAAATATAAGCCAGGATAGCATATTGGAAGTATTTGGCAAGGTAAAGAACAGTGTATATGGGGGGCAGCTAGGTGACGCAGTGGATAGAGCACCGGCCCTGGATTCAGGAGGACCTAAGTTCCAATCCGGCCTCAGACACATAACACTTACTAGCTGTGTGACCCTGGGCAAGTCACTTAACCCCATTGCCTAGCCCCCCCCCCAAAAAAAGAACAATATATGTGGATATTGTAATGATTTTTGCTTTAATCATAAAATCCTTTTGGTTGGATGCTTTCTCTGACCCACCCCACCCCTTAAATCAAAATGTATTATAAAGGATTTGTAGCTCTTGTCTCTTTCTTAATTCTAGTTTCTTTTCTTAAAAAAATATAGTCACACACACATATTTGGGTTTTGTTGTGATGACTTGAGTCTGAGGGAAGCAATGGGCTGATAACCAAAATTATGGCCCCATGGCTCCACTTTAGATCACTACTTACCACAAAAGATGATTCCTAGTTCAAGGACTGGTCCTTTGTGGTGCTAATAAATGAAAGAGAGCTTCTCCTTCATAGAACTGTATGTATGTACTGACCCTCTGGAGAGCAACTCCATCAAAACTAGGACCCTGTCAATTACCCTCCTAAAAGATGTTTGGAACGTTATTGAAGGAATTCTTTTCTCTCCTTCCCTTGCTCTGAACTGATCAAAAGAGGCCTTGAACTTCTATGTGAGGAAGTCTTGAAAATCCCTCATCTGAAACAATTGCATCTCCAAAGAAATGATCTTAGCATAATGCCTAAAGATTTCTTTCACTTTCTGCCAAATCACGTTTGACTGGCTCTCTCACAAGATAAAATTAAAGCTATTCCTTCTGGGATTAGATCTCATAAGCAGTAGGGAGCCTCTGAAGATTTTTGAGGTGAAGAGTGATGTGTTCAGACTCTTGCATCTTTGGAAGTCCAATGGGCAGTCCTTTACCTGCAGACATCCTATGGATTATGGAGAACTACACTTATCTTACACACTAGAAAAATATTGCTGTCCTTTCTAAAGATGAAAAATTTACATAGAGCTAATGAAAAAGAATATGTATTGGTGTATATGGATAATACAAAGGTTCTTTGTATTTGTTGTATACATATAGACATACGTGTGTGTGTGTGTGTGTGTGTATAGATGAATACCAGTTAGCTATAGAACTTAAAAGAAACAAGTTTGGAAATACTCTTGCTTTTTAGGGTGAAAAAAAGTAGATAATGTACCTTTTTAATTAAAATATTACTGATTTCTATATAAAATCTAGGGCAGCTAAATGGTAGAACACTAAGCTTGGAATCAGGATGACTCATTTTCCTGAGTTCAGATACTTACTCGCTGTCTGACCCTGGGCAAGTCACTTAGTTATGTTTGCCTCAGTTCTTTATCTGTAAAATGAGCTGCAGAAGGAAATGGCAAACCACTCCAGTATCTTTGCCAAGGAAACCCCAAATAGTCATGAAGTGTCGACTACAACTGAAATGACTGAGCAACAAGAAGAATAAAATCTGAGGTGTACTAAGTAGACAGAAGTGCAGTGTTCTACCTTGCAACTCACAAAATGATGCAGAAAATGAGTTATCTAGAATAGTAACCATTCTAAAGGATCATTTTGTCATATGAGGAAAGTCATTTCTATCTCATAGGAAATCATTACATATTCTAATTCATTTACAGAGTTTTGAAGTGAACAGTATAGTTACTAAGTTTTAAGTTTTTAATGTGGTTGGAATATTTTTGGTTTTTATGAAAAGTAAAATTGCTGAATAATTGTCTAAATGATAACCATGAGACTCTTGAGTTTACCTAACTTAAAAGTTTGATAGATGGGCAGCTAGGTGGCGTGGTGGATAGAGCACTGGACTTGGAGTCAGGAGGACTTGAGTTCACATCCAGCCTCAGACACTTGACACTTAAGCTGTGTGACCCTGGACAAGTCATTTAACCCCATTGCCTAGCAAAAAACAAAAACAACAACAAAAAAATGTTTGATAGAGATATTGCATTATTTCATTTGGAGTAGTAGCTTATGAGCAGAATTTATAATTTGATATTGCAGAAGCAAAGTATGCATTAGCTATATGTTTTCATTAAATAAAAAAAAATTTTACTCTGAATTTCCATCAATTTATCAATTAAGTCAGCATAATAGTTTTGTGGTTTCACACAAATTTTATTGTTGTAGATAGGTATTAAGATAATGCCCCCTTAGCATTTCCATACAAGTCTGAAAGTGTAAGGAACACAGCTTCAATTTCTGAAAGCGCTTCTATTTCTTAGCACAAAGCCTGACATTTTCTGCCTTAAATCATAAAATTTTTAAATGTAACTATAGTAATAGCTAATATTTATGTGGCACTTTCAGGCTTACAAAGTGCTTTGCATGTATTATTTCATTTGGGCTTCACAAATAACCCTTTTCAGATTAGGTGCTATTATTATCCATATTTTATAGGTGAGGAAATTGAGGCTGAAAGGCTGAGTGGCTCACCCAGGGTTCCACAGCCAGTGAGTATCTGAGGCAGGATTCACACTCAGGCCTTCCTGCCTACAAGTCCAGCTTTCCAACCAGC